TACAAAAGATTTATATTTCAAATAAACTGTATTTTTTTGTACAAATTTCTGTTAATCAAAGCGTCCTGTAAAATATGTCACGCTTTTCACAAGTGTATTAATCAGCTACTTTCAAGATTTATAATAATAATAATATTTTTTTGAGCACCAAATAATAATCATGTTAGTATTATTTCTGAAGGATTAAATGACACTGAAGACTGGAGTAATGGCTGCTGAACATTCGGCTTTGCCATCGCAGGACTAAATCACATTTAAAAATAATAGAAAACAGTGTTCATTTGTAGTAATATTTCACAATATGACTATCTATTTTCTGGACAGCTTGGTGAGCATACAAGACTCCTTTTAAAAACATAAAAAATCTTACTGACAGTAAGAGCAGTAGTGTATTTCCTACAATTCAGATTGTTTCTGAACTGTATTTTGTGCTGTAGCTGCGGCGAGAGGTGAGACTGAGAAAGGAATACCTGTACAGGAAAGCACAGGAGGACAGACTGTACACTATTGAAGAGAAAAAACAGAAGCTCAAATCTGCGTTAGATGGTGAGACTCCAGCCATATCTTAATCATCTTATCAAACTCTCCTAACCGATCTGATATATATTGCGCGTATCTCATTTTACGCTGTTCATGTCTTTTGCAGAAAATCGTCTTTTACCCACCGAAGTTCGGAAGGAGGCTTTAGACTTACAGAAACTGTTGGAGTTTGATGATGAGGGTGGAGAAGGTGACTATTTTTTTCTGTCACTTATATCGGAATCCAGTTTTGTCTGCCACCATATGTAAACCCATTTTGTGACATCATATAGGTGTTAGTTCTCATATGGATGATGAGTACAAATGGGCAGGAGTGGAAGACCCCAAAATTATGGTCACAACATCCAGAGACCCCAGCTCTAGACTCAAGATGTTTGCCAAAGTATGTTAAATCCTAATATTCATATTTGACAGTAAGGATAAAGTGTTTCTTTGTGTGAATGCATGTCGTTTTATGTTGTTAGCTCTAATCTGATGTTTTGTATGTTCATGTTACCATTATGACGTAAGGGAAACCTTCGTCTATCAGTGGTTGTGGTTTATTTAGGTGGCACTCTTTTTTTCTTTTTTGCAGGAAATGAAGCTGATGTTTCCAGGGGCCCAGCGTATGAACAGAGGAAACCATGAAGTTAAAACATTAGTACATGCGTGCAAAGCTAATAATGTCAGTGATCTGGTCATAGTTCATGAGACCAGAGGCCAACCAGGTATGGACTGATATGGTTTTCATCTGTTTCCTGTTTTATTGCACAGTGTATCAATACCTGGTAAACATTTGGTATATTATGAAAGTTTTTTTCTTTAAAATTGCTTTAATTGCATATCCAGTTTAATGTGCAGTTTTTTACTTTAGGTACATTAGATGTTTTATTTAATTACATTACGTCTTTCTTTTGTAGATGGTTTGGTGGTGTGTCACCTTCCTTTTGGGCCGACAGCCTACTTCACATTGTATAATGTGGTAATGAGACATGATGTTCCAGACATTGGCACCATGTCTGAGGCCTTCCCTCACCTCATCTTCCACAACTTCATGTCACGTCTTGGCCGAAGGGTGAGTTGTGCAGGAAATAACTTCTGGTGTCCTTGGAAACAATAATAAAGTTAGTTTCTCATCCGCACTACCATTCAAAAGAGTCACTAATACTTTTTTAAACAAATGTAATGCTTTTATTCTTTTATGCAAAAGTGCATAACATTTATTGAAGGGCCAGTAAAGATATTTATAATATTACAAAAGAATTGTATTTCAAATAAGTGCTGTTCTTTTAAATGTTCTATTTATTAAAGAATCCTTAAAAATGTAGCTCAGTTTCCACAAAAATACTGAGTAGCACAATTGCTCAACATTGATAATTGATAGTTTCTTGAGGATTGAATGATTTCTGAAGAATTATGTGACACTGAATACTGGACATAGCATTTCCATCAGAGAAATAAATTGCATTTTATATTAAAAGCGTTATTTTAAGTTGTAATATTTCACAGTATGACTTTTTTTTTTACCGTTTGATCTTATAAATGCAGACTTGGTTAGTGTAAGGGACTTCTTTGAACAGTAGTGTAAAGTGTTTCATATTCAGTTTCCTATTTTAATAAAATAAACATAATTATTGTCTTACCATATGTCAGGGCTGGCGAACGTCGGTCCTGGAGAGCCGCAGCCCTGCAGAGTTTTGCTTCAACCCTAATCAAACACACCTGAACAAGCTAATCAAGGTCTGAAGGGTTACTAGGAAGCTACAGGCAGGTGAGTTTTATTAGGGTTGGAGCTGAACTCTGCAGGGCTGCGGCTCTCCAGGACTGGAGTTCGCCACCCCTGCCATATGTGATGGAGAGAAAGAGACTAGGATTTACTGAAAAAAAAAGTGAAATCTCCATGTGACATTATAAAGGCTTCTGAAAAGCTTCTTGGTTTAGTAATGGAATTTATGTGTTAAGCTGAAAGCAAAATATAATTTTTTCCTCTCTAGGTCTCTAACATCCTAAAGTATCTGTTTCCTGTACCTAAAGAGGATAGCAGACGTGTTATTACATTTGCAAATACAGATGATTTCATCTCTTTCAGGTGAGTGATGGTCTGTTAGAACTGTTGTTCTAAAGGTTTTGAGTCTGATTAAGAAGATTGGTTTTAATGACTTTGTATATTGCAGACACCATACCTACAAGAAAACCGATCACAAGAACGTTGAGTTGACAGAAATTGGACCCAGATTTGAGATGAAATGTAAGCAGCTCTGTTTTTTGGTGTTAGATTAATTGATATTAATGCAGAAAAGGCACTTATGTTCTCTGCTCATTATTCATTTGTGTTTAATCTTCCTTTTTCAGTGTACATGATCAAGCTCGGCACACTGGAGAACGAGAGTACTGCAGATGTTGAGTGGCGACTCCATTCTTACACACGCACTGCCAAAAAGAGGAAATTCTTAAGTGTGGAATAGTACTCATGTATAGTACTCAATAGTTCAATGTACTCATGAGAAACCTGTGTTCTTCTATCAGAATGGACATTGTCAATTTAATTCTCCGACATAGTGGTCTTTTTTACATTTAGTTGTGACATTTAAAAAGATGTTTGAATTCCTTTCAATATTATAATGTTGACACTTCCGCAAATTAAATGTTTTGTACAGAGTCTCCTGAACATTATAAAACGTTCTTTACATTTGTATGTTTTGTATTATGCTTTTATTGTTGCTTCATTATTTCTTATGAATTGGCTTGTATAGAATATTTAAACGAAGTTTTTGCTTTAAACTGTTTTGTTTGATTTTAACAAAAATAGAAACAGTATATTTAGAATTTATGTAGCAGCTGTGTAGGTTTCTTTAATGCTTGGAAAAACTTCACATTCGTTAACCGCAGCACACGCCCCTTTCTCATTCCCTTGCTACAAAGTACCACAATAGATGACCAATCAGTGGCTCGATTCACAGATCTCGACCAATCAGAGCGCGAGCTTTCGCTGTTCCGCTTTCCCTGAAATTCTTTGCTGATCCGACTTGAGACTGAGAGAATTCAAGATGGCTGTCTCAGGTGAGTATTTACTCTGAAGCGAAAAATGCTAAGTGAGTCTCGCGAACGGGCTGCATAGTTTGCGGAAATATTACTCGCAGGTATAAATCGCGTTAATTCATACCGCCGCGGCAGCAAAATTCAGATTAAGACCAGTTTTTCAACTTTTAGGCAGCATTAGCAACACTAGCTAGCTGGCAGCTAGTCGTCTAATCCCTTTCCGCCTTATGAAAACAGCATTCCCTCCTTCAGCTCGAAAAAGGCACCTGACAGGATTTAAGAATCTATGTTTAGATAATATGCTTTTATACTTCAGTCATGATATTGAGTAACGTGTTGGTAAATTGAACAAGCTAGGAGTGCATGGCCTGTGATATAGTAAAATAGCAGAGCAAATGATCAGGCACATCACTTAGCTAAACCCAGCCAGTTTATCTTCATTGCAGGCTGCTGCACATTTCTGTGGTTACACTTTAAGGAGGGGAGGTGTTTGTGTAAAACATCTTTATCATTCTCTGTCCTGCGTTTATACTGCAGATGTTACATGATGTGTTGGAGTGTTACTTTGCCTTTCTAAGCGCTTTTGAACAAGGATTGATCACAGGACCGGTTTAGAAATGGGATTTTTTGCAGCTATAATTTATATATATACATACATACATGCACCCATAAAACAAGGTCGTGGATGTTACTGAAATCTATATAGTGTGCGTCTGTGTGTATATTTACTAGTGTGTGTGTATATATATATATATATGTATGTATGTATGTGTGTGTTAGTAATTATATTGCGGGATGTAAGTGTAAGATCTGTATTTGGTTGTTTATTACATTCTCATTTGCTGCTGTAGTGTAACTACAACACCAGTGATGTTTTGCACAATGGTGCAACTGCAGTGGTTTCCAGTATGCACAATACTTGTGGTTTAAGGTTGCAAAGACTGTATACTGCATTAAATATCATAAAACGTTCAATATGAAGTACTTGTTCCTACGTGTCTGGATTAAATGGCTTCATTTCAGAGTTTGATAGCCTTAAGACTTAAATTATAGTCTATTATTATAGACTAAAATGTTGAAAGGAGTTTGAACGACATCAGATATCTTTATTGGGGGCATTTCCTTCTACATCTGTTTGTAAAAGACCAGTGTAGAAACTAGTATTTATTTACCCATTTACAAGCTCCACTGACATATGGTTCTGAGTTATCAGTTTGCTTTTTCTCAGTAGAGTGTAATTTCAAATGACCACACCTGCAGGGTTTTTGTGCTGAATTCTGAATTGGAAATTCAACTGGCAACCAATTTAGAGTGTGTTATTACCAGGTTGATTTGTTTAATGAAATACTTTCAGCTTTGAATAAACATTTGAATGAATTCTGAAATTGAATAAATGTTGAATAAATGTTTCTGTCATTTTGAAAATGTCAAATATCCGACTGAGTGTCAGTGCTGCCAGTCCCTCACTGCCCCTTTGGAGACACCATGTCCAACACCTCCTCCTGTTCCTCCTCGGGGGAAACCAGCCCTGATGACACACCCCGAGGTGGGGGCACCATTCGTGTCTACCTCCCCAACAAGCAGCGGACGGTGGTGAGGGTTCATTTACTGGAGTCTGATTTGTTTAAAATGCCTTTTATTGTTGTTCGCAAACATATGGAATCGCTAATATAACCGGTGTATGTATATATTTGTAATCAGAGGTTGTGTGTTTGTGATCCTACATTGATAGCACTGTGTGACCATGTGTTCAGGTAAATGTTCGGCCTGGGCAAACTGTCTATGATAGTCTAGATAAAGCCCTGAAAGTCAGAGGCCTAAGCCAGGATTGCTGTGCTGTCTTTCGCCTTCTTGAAGGGTAGGTGTGCCTAAGAATTTGGCTCTTAAAATGACAAAATCTCTCCTTAGTAAGTTTATACTCGGTTGTTTTGACTTTGTTCTTCTTTTGGCCAGCCGGAAGAGACTTACAGAATGGGACACTGACATCACACCCCTCGTAGGGGAAGAGCTTCTGGTAGAAGTGCTGGATGATGTTCCTCTTACCATGCACAACTTCGTAAGTGTACTTGCACAACAGACTTTGGTGCAAAGATGAGTAGTGGTGATATTTATTTTTAACAACATTTGCAACTGCTTTTTATCACTTAATTAGAAGCACCACAAATTAAAATTGTCATGTTATAGGGACTACTGAACAGACATTTAGAAGTTGATTTTAAAATGCAAAGTATTTTAAAGGGGGGTTGGTACTGTTGATGTACTGGAAAATATTTGCAGCAAATAATCTGGAAAGTGTATGTGGGATGATTACATTTAGTCATTTAGCAGACGCTTTTATCCAAAGCGACTTACAAATGAGGACAATAAAAGCAGTCAAAACTAACAAAAGAGCAACAATATTGTGTTGCATGTTCTGAAAGAAAGGGCCTGATCTTCCTAATGTTGTATAAAGCAAATCTGCAGGACCAGGCAGTTTTAGCAATGTGGTCTGAGAAATTCAGCTTATCATCAATCACAACTCCAAGGTTTCTAGCTGTTTTTGAAGGAGTTATGGTTGATGTTTTGATAAAGTGATGGGTTTGTTGAAACCACAAGCAGTTCGGTCTTTATTATGATGAGCAAGTACAGATTATTTTAACACAGATCATGCTCTGAGCTCTGTCCAGCAATTCTGGGACTTTTGGTTTAAATTTTGACTGCTGATGCTTTAATTAAATTGGTAGCCCTTTATAGTAAGGTTCAATTTGTAATATTAGAAAATTCATTAGTTATGATGAACTAAAAATGAACAACATTCCACAGCAATCTTGGTCAATATTAATACATTGTATGCTTATTTTTTTATGTATATATTTTATTTTGCACCACAGCTCTAACATTCTAATAGATTTAATTTTTAGCTAATTTTAGGTTAATTTCAAGTTTGAGGTTAACATTAATTTATGCTATAGCATGAATTATGCTCATTTATTGCATTTTTTTTTTTAAATAAAAGGATGAATTTATTTGATGATAAAACAGTACCATTCTGAAATATTATTATGATTTAAAATTACTTAATTTTTTATTTATTTTTTATTTTATTTTAAAAAGTAATTTACTCCAGTGATGGCAGAGCTGAATTTTCAGCAGCCATTTCTTCAGTCTTCAGTATCCCATGATTCTTCAGAAATCATTCTAATATGCTGAACAAGATTTATCAATGTTGAAAACAGTTCTGCTGCTTGATATTTTTGTGGACACCGTGATACATATTTTTTTTTAGGATTCTTTGATGAATAGAAACTGTGAAAGAGTAGCATATATTTCTTTACTGCCACTTTCGATAAGTTTAATTAAACCCCTCTGAGTAAAAGTATTATTTAAAAAAACCATACTGACCTCAGATTTTGAATGGTATTCTATATCAATAACATGAACATATCAACATTAACTTGCGAGTCACCAAATCAGCATCACCCTTAAATGGCACAATCTTGTTTTCACAGGTACGTAAAACATTCTTTAAATTAGCTTACTGTGACTTCTGCCACAAGTTCTTGTTCAACGGCTTCAGGTGTCAGACCTGTGGGTATAAATTTCACCAGCACTGCAGCAGTAAAGTCCCTACAGTATGTGTGGATATGGACACCATGACAAAACGGTATGTTCTGAATGAAATTTTCTGTTTGTGTGCTTGTCCTCATTTTTGTAACTCAACTGGTGTTCTGTTGCTCTCAGGTGTGTTCCTAATACAGTAGACTGCCCTTCGATATTGATATATCCGGCCACCAATTCCATATCACAGAGCGACATTCCCTTAACTTCAGATTCTCCTGGGTACTCTTTAACTTCACCTATAAATACATGTACCTGTTGATCCCCTAGGGGAAATGTAACACTAGCCGACATGTATGCTTTTTTGTTTTACCCCTTTTAGAGAGGAACTGCTGTCTACCCCATCAAGCTTCCGTTTGATCATGCGAGGAGAGGACGGTCAGTCTCTCCAAAGGCATCGCTCCACCTCAACCCCCAATGTCCACATGGTCAGCACGCTGGAGCCTGGCGCTGCTGGCCTCATGGAGGTTAGAGACCGGACTAGAGGCTCATCAAGTCCACATACGTTTTCTCATTTTTTGTTCACCCACAAATGAAAGTCACCCTCTTTGCTCCAAAATTTTCTTTCTTCTGTCGAACCCAAGAGGTGATGTTAGACAGTTTTCACACTGATATTTTCCATACCATGAAAATGGCTGTCAATATCTGAAACCAGAAAACCAGCATTTAAAAAGTTTGCATAGAAAAGAGCAGTGTCAACATTCTGCTACACTTCTGTTTTTGTGTTCCATGGAAGAAAGGAAGGGCGAGGAATGCATTTTTGGGTGAACTGTCCCTGTACTATAGTATTAGCCTGGCTAGATATCAAATGTCAAGATATGTTACTTCACAGAATATGACAGTGGAGGTTCTGCATGCCTCCTTGATCATCTGTCCTCCATCGCATGTATTTATTCATTTTTCCCCCCACTCTCATTCAGGAGTCATTCAAAATCAGCACAGTGGGTGAGTGTTGTTGTTTTTTTTTTTTTCCCTCTCATTTTTTCCACTTGACTACCTGTCTCTCACAAAAGTTCTTTTTTTTTTTTACGCACCCACATTACACTACACACATTTTTGTTTCTTAACCATCTCTGATTACAATGACACAAATATCTACACATCTCCATGTGTGTGAACTGGCCTTCATATTCTAGTGTTGTCCACAGGGCAAGAGTCCACTCCCAAGCCTTCCACTAGCCCACCCCACCTAGGGTCACCAGGAAGAAGACCCCCCAAATCCCCTTCTGAGCCCAAGGAACGAAAACAATCCTCATCTGATGATAAAAAGAAAGTGGTGAGTGTGTGTCTTATTTTAATAGGAAGCCCAGATGACTTGGCTACAATCTTTTATTTTATTTTTTTTCCAAACCAATTTTTGTTTTTGTGTTTTTTGTTTTTTAGCACCGGGGAGGTTACAGAGACTCCAGTTACTACTGGGAGGTGCACTCACGGGAGGTGTCCATGTTAAAGAGGATTGGAGCAGGTTCTTTTGGGACCGTCTATAAAGGCAAGTGGCATGGAGACGTGGCTATCAAGATTCTTAAAGTGACAGAGCCCACACCGGAGCAGCTCCAGGCCTTTAAAAATGAGATGCAGGTTTTACGGTGAGTCGTCATCTGCACGATCCTAGCTTCAAAGCCTGCCGAAGATAACAGTGTAACAGTAGTTCTCATTAATGTTGCTTTACTGCATTAGTAATGTCATCTGCTGCTACAACCAGCTAATCTCCAGTTCAAATCTTCTGTTCAGTATGACTAATTTGAGTCCTTTGCTCCTCAGAAAAACACGCCATGTCAACATTCTGCTGTTCATGGGCTTCATGACGAAGCCTAATTTTGCCATTATCACGCAGTGGTGTGAAGGCAGCAGCCTCTACCGCCACTTGCATGTTACTGAGACCAAGTTTGACACCATGCGCCGTATCGATGTTGCTCGCCAGACTGCACAGGGCATGGAGTAAGTTTTTTTTTTTTCTTTTTTCTTTCTTGCTACATGCTCATGGGCTTCATGACGAAGCCTAATTTTGCCATTATCACGCAGTGGTGTGAAGGCAGCAGCCTCTACCGCCACTTGCATGTTACTGAGACCAAGTTTGACACCATGCGCCGTATCGATGTTGCTCGCCAAACTGCACAGGGCATGGAGTAAGTTTTTTTTTTTTTTTTCTTTTTTCTTTCTTGCTACATGCTGTGCCAATTATATAATGTTAATATAACAAAACTCTATAAAATGTTAATGTACACTACTGTTAAAAGGTGTAAGAAAACTTTTAATCCGCAAGGAAGCATTTAATTGATCAAAACATTTGTAACGGAGGATTTCTTTTTCAAATAAATGCTGTTCTTTCGAACTTTCTATTAAAGAATCCTGAAAATCAATCATGGTTTCCACAAAAATATTAAGCAACACCACTGTTTACAACAAGGGTTCGCAGCTCTAGCCCTCGAGGTCCACGTTCCTGCAGAGTTTAGCTCTAACCTTGATCAAATTCACCTGCCTGTGACCTTCTAGTGATCCTGAAGATGTTGATCAGCTTGTTCGGGTGTGTTTGATTAGGGCTGGAACTAAACTCTGCAGAAAAGTGGACCTCGAGGACCAGAGCTGAAAACCTCTGGTGTACAACATTGATAATAATAAGAAATGTTTCCTGAGCACCAAATCAGAGTATTAGAAGGATTCTGAAGGATCACGTGACACTGTAGACTGGAATAATGGCTGCTGAAAATTCATCTATCCCCCATCACAAAAAATAAATAATATTTTACAACATATTCAAATTGAAAACTGTTATTTTAAAATTGTAATACCGTAATAAAAGCAACCTCGCTGAACATAAGAGACTTGTTTTGAAAGCATCATACCAACCCCAAACTTTTCAATAGTAGTGTTTTTCAAAAGGCATAATTTCCTTACAGATTTTATCAGTCCCCCATACACTCAGGCCAACCAGTAATGTATCATTATTATATTATCAGCTAGTGTGGTTAATTATGATCAGTACATGCACCCTAAATAAGTAATAGCGGAACACTAATTGTAATTTGGACTTGTGATAACAAAGAACACTTGTAACTTCATAAAAAAAACATCTTAAGGAGCTGCTCACACCAGAAGACAGTGCACTTAATGGCACTCTTTTTTTCAGCTCAGAATCACAAGGACACACTTGTATGGAAAATTGGCACGTCTTCTTAAATCCACCAATGTTATATGATTGTATCGTCTATTATAATGCTTGGATTTATAGAGAGTAGATGAAGTGTAGAAAATCTCATTTTGTGCATAATTTGCTACTAATCTTTCCTTAACAGTTATCTTCATGCCAAGAATATCATTCATCGGGACTTGAAATCTAATAGTATCCTTTCTATAATGTGTTAGCAGTGCTCTTGTCTGTATTGTGAGATATCTGTTGCAGGATAGATCAGATTGATCTAATTTGCTGCCAGTAGATGGCATCATGGTTGCATCTTAATGTCCTAGTACAGTGGTTCTCAAACTTGAGAACTTGTCCTGGAGTACCCCCTGCCCTGCACATTTTGTATGTCTCCCTCATCTATCACACCTGATTCAATTCATGAGCTCATTAGTGGAGACTGCAAGACCTGAAGTGGGTGTGTCAGATGTAGGGAGACATACAAAATGTGCAGTGCTGGGGGTACTTCATGGAGAGGTTTGAAAGCCACTGTCCTAGTAGATTGCCAAGCCGCTTTCGGTCTTAATGCTTGTAAATAAAGAATTGTCTGATTTACCTAAATTACTGGCATGAGATGGAAGGCTGAGGTTGAGGATTTATTGGAATAATAGTGCTAATGCATTCTCTCTAGTGATATTGTAGTCATTCTTTGTTCTGCATGATACTCCTGAGCTCATGTGTCAGATATCTTCCTGCACGAAGGCTGGACGGTAAAGATCGGTGACTTTGGGCTGGCCACAGTAAAGTCTCGCTGGAGTGGCTCTCAGCAGGTTGAACAGCCCAGTGGCTCCATCCTGTGGATGGTGAGTAATCATCACCCAGCTCAATACCTAATTCATCAATGAATCTAATACTTAGTAGCTTACCACTTATGTGAAGTAGTTTAATCCGGAATCTATTGTTGAGAAGTACATTTTTAAAGCTTTTTTAACTCTGCTGTTGTTTTTCAGGCCCCTGAGGTGATCAGAATGCAAGACACTAACCCATACACCTTCCAGTCAGATGTATACGGATATGGAGTGGTGCTCTATGAACTGATGTCTGGGACTTTGCCTTATTCGAATATCAACAACCGCGATCAGGTCAGGCATACGCCACCACTCTGATAGATTGTCCTTTTCTGTTCAAGCTCGAAATAGTTTTGAATGAACTTTGTTCAGCCCAAAATAACTATCCTCCTAACTATCATCATTTACTCACCCTCATGTTGACTGTATGACTGTCTTCCTTGGAGCACAGAAGGAGAAGTTAACTATGATGTTTGGTTGTTCTCTTCCTGTAGATTATTTTCATGGTGGGTCGTGGCTACTTGTCTCCAGACCTCAGTAAATTATACAGTAACTGTCCTAAATCAATGAAGAGGCTCATCATCGACTGTCTAAAATTCAAACGCGATGAACGGCCTCTCTTCCCCCAGGTAAGAATAACCAGAGCCCTTCTCTGCTTTCCAGCACAGTTATGTCAGATTAAGTGATAGCCTCATGTTTCGTCCCTGCTTGTTCTTCAGATCTTGGTGGGCATCGAGCAGGTCCAGGATCTGTTGCCAAAAATCGAGCGGAGTGCCTCTGAGCCCTCTTTACACCGTGCTGTACACGCCGAGGACCTGAACCCGCTTCTCCTTCACACCACACGCCTCATGCCTCTGTGAGACGATCCGCTCCTCTCCCAGAGGCCGTGCAGGATCATTCCCAGCATGGAGTTCCTCTCATTATTCCACACATTCCTGAGAGCACCCTAATTACTTCATCGGTCACACATATAGTCAAACACATTACATTTATCTACTCGTTCATGCTCCCTCCCTCCTCTTTTCCATTCCAGCTGCTCCTCCGTAAAGCTGCCTGTAGAGAATGTCAGATTCTTTCTGGACCAGCTGCTTTCTAAAACAGAAGCAGGAAATAAACCTTGCTCTCTTACTACACTTAATGGATTTCCAAATCCAAGCATCATATCAGCAATGTATCGGCACAATTTTAATGACCTCCTTTTTTTTTGGTATATTTCAAAATGTGTTATGGTTGCTTACACATGACCTTTTTTACTTTAAGATGAAATTAGCGTTTTACTTTAGAACAAGCAAACTAGCATGGAGATTTTCTTTTTTTTTCTCTTTCTCCCTGTTCTCCTTGCTTGAAAATCATTGGCCAGTGATAGCACAATGTTGATGACTCTATTCATTTACATCAGTCACAGAGACTCTCTGCTCACAGATTGGTTCGCAGTCAGTTTATGATCATAAACATGATCATACTCCCATTGCCGTTGTTTTGGCATCTTTTTAATTCCGTTATTTTTTTAAAATGGAAAATATTGGTATCAGATTTGGGCTTTCTAAAACAGAAGCAGGAAATAAACCTTGCTCTCTTACTACACTTAATGGATTTCCAAATCCAAGCATCATATCAGCAATGTATCGGCACAATCTTAATGACCTCCTTTTTTTTTTGGTATATTTCAAAATGTGTTATGGTTGCTTACACATGACCTTTTTTACTTTAAGATGAAATTAGCGTTTTACTTTAGAACAAGCAAACTAGCATGGAGATTTTCTTTTTTTTTCTCTTTCTCCCTGTTCTCCTTGCTTGAAAATCATTGGCCAGTGATAGCACAATGTTGATGACTCTATTCATTTACATCAGTCACAGAGACTCTCTGCTCACAGACTGGTTCGCAGTCAGTTTATGATCATAAACATGATCATACTCCCATTGCCGTTGTTTTGGCATCTTTTTAATTCCGTTATTTTTTTTAAATGGAAAATATTGGTATCAGATTTGGTTGCATATACGTATGTGACTTGTGCTCTTAATAATTGTGCTGTGTATTTGAGATATTTTTTAAAAGAATTATCTTCCACCTTTGTGCTTTCTCTTTCTCTGTTGGTGAGCTTTAAATTGTGTAGCTTAATGAAATTTCAAGAAAATGGCACAAAGCAGTGGTGCACTTCCTGAAGTGATGGGGAAGGAAAAATTTACACTTTTCTTTTGTTGCTTTGAAATGAGTACATTTGCATTCTGGATTAAAACAAGATTGATAGTTCGTTTTAAAACGGAATAAAAATTCACAAACTAAACTAAAATGGCACATGATGACCACAAGCAAGACTGGTGAACTAGTACTGGCGCTTCATCCCAGTCTAACTTGTGCACTAATGCATTGTGTTTGCATGTGGTGGTGTTAACCGGTCGCCTGTTGCTGCCCGTGCTGTTGAACGTTTGTACAGTAGCTCACACTTGGAGATACTGGAGTGCAGAGGTTCTTAATCCTGGTCCAGGGTCGAGCTGATGATCTGAATCAGGTGTGATAAATAAAGAAGACCTCCAAAAATGCACAAAGCAGGGGATCAACAGGACAAAAGTTAAGAACCACTGCTGAAGTGATTTTGTTCACAGCTCTACATTCAGATAGTGTTGAGCAATGGTTCAGAGGGTGGTTTTGTGTCTTGAAACTTAAGTGTCATTTTTGAGTGTCTGAGAACAATGTCCATAAATTTCGCAGTCACACAGCAGCTTTAAGGTGGAGTTCCGGTTGAAGCCCTGAAGCAGTTTTCAAAGAAAATACATTTCTTAAATAAAGCTGCTAACTTTAGACTCGCTGCTGACCCCTGCTTAATCGACTAGTTTTAGTTTTGAGTGAGACGATCAAACTTAAGATGCGCTTTTCCCTTCTGCAGCACCCATTCTCTTAGGGCTCTGATAAGAGCAGGAAGAACAGAAACTTCGTAGCATTTCCTTCAGATCAAATTTGTGGCAGCATGGGGTGAGGTAGTGCTTCTGGGTGCTGTATTCTTCTTTCAGTTAGTTCAGTTTATACCATACACTCAAAAGCATGTCTTTGCAATACAGTCGTGCTGTTTAATAGCAATATTAAAGTTCCTTTTCCTCCCATTCAGCTGGTTTCAATAGGACTGACTGAAGCCTACAGTGATGGGGCCTTATGTGAGCTACATTTTCCATCTGTCCTTTTAATGGAGTCTTAATATATGTAACTTATTGATTCATAACTGACACTTGTACTAAAGGCAGAGCTTTGGTTCTTATCTAACAATATTCGAATGGGGCTGGGTCCCCCGCTGAGTTGTACTCATTCCAAATACGATGCCTATGGAAGATTCACTAGGCGATTCTATGTCTCTTGTTCATGAAAGATGGTTTCACATCCCCTCAGTGACTAATGGAAATGAATATGTTGTAGTTTCAGTCAAACCTGACTATCTTTATATATTTCTGCTTGATTACACACTTGCTCTGTTCTTAACAGAGCTGAAGTGCTTCTGGACTCTTGTAGAATGATGATGTGGTACTCCCAAGTGTAGGATTTTCCGAAGAAACCAGTGGTAATAATATCGCTCAATACAAAAGGGGGTAATTGCGTTATCAAGCATTTGTAGATGGCACTATATGCTCTTCTCTATTCATAACGGTTGAGAAAGCAAGACTATCGGTTTATTTTTGTATAGATTTGGATGCACAACTAGTCCTATTGAGATTTATGATACAATTAAAGCTAAAAAATGAATTGTGTGGCTTTAAAACGACAGCCGAGAAACCTCTATAGAATTAGACTCTGGTTTAGGAACTGTTTTACCCACCAAATTCCAGCCTGCCTTGTTGTATAAGAAACTATAACTGGTCCTAGATCATCAGAACAGTAACTACTTCTGGCAACTTTGGATGTTTGCAGCATTTCCTTAATGGCTTTAACGTCCCTCAGGATACATGTGGGACAAAGACTTTTTTTTTTTCTCCTTGTATCGTTGCAAGCACCTCTTTTGTTCACACTTTTATAGTTTCCATTAAGCCCAAAATAAGATAATCAGACAGTATATAAAATTCAGTTTCTGCTTTCGCACAAGGGCACGAATGCAAAAGGGTGAAACTTTAGCCACCATTTTTCAGAACAGGAAATATAACGAAAGATCAATTTTGTTTAAAAAGATTAGTTTAGCATATGTTAGGTGAACTGCAATGTGTGTATAGTTGAATATGTCTAAGGGGTGTTTGCGGAAAAACGGTGTATTCTGCCATGTACAGTTACTTTTTCTTTTTTTTTTAAAGATTACTTTAAATTGTATTTGTTTTTATTTTTTGTGTGATGGTTCAAAAAGAACAAAATTATTTTAAAACATGTAAAGGAAATCTTAGTATTTTCTTGTTTTTTTTGGGGTCTTAAATATTGTGGAGACAGGATTTTGTCCTAAAATAAAACTGTTGAAATGTTTGGTTTCATTAAGTTTTTTTTTTTTTTT